CCCCCCCCCCACCCCCTCAGTATTATGCAGCACAGCTACCCATTCATGATTTGTACACCTAGGTGGAGAGAGCCACCGTGACAGAAAAGTGTCTTGTCCAAGAACACAACATTTATGTCTTTGGCCAGGGCTCCATGCTGGACCGCTCAATCTGGAGTCCACCCCACGAACCATAAGGCCACTGCATCTCCCAAAAAAAGGCCAAGGAAGGCTAGAGCAGCCCAAAGTATTACCATATCAATATCAAATGAATATTTGGGGGCAAGAAGTTTAAAAGCGCTTTCGAGAATGAAAAGAGTAATGGGCTGACAGTTTCATCTGGACAACCAGGGGTACGTTTGATCCTAAGGAGGGTGTTTTGGAGGCAGTGCACGGCAGAGAAGTTGAAGTTGCACTCTACAAGTAAATTTTGAGTCACTGCTAGGTAATTATTACCTAGCATCGACCCACAATTGACTTGGAGAGTAAAAAAATTCAATGTCGTAAAACTTAATACATTCAGCTAAAGAGGAAGTAAAAAGTGTCAAAGTGGCCTCCACAACAGGGAATACTGCTCCATAAGTAGGTGAAGGCATTTGTGCCAGCTTTGTGCCAGCTTCCTAAAACGTTCCATCTGGAAAGAAGAAAGGAGGTTAGCAAAACCATTCTGGAAAGGAGAATATGCATGGCTATCACACCAGACTCTCATGTGGCAAAAGCTTAGTAGATGGGGAAAAGTTCCTGCCAAGTAATGCTTATATCTGGGAAGGCACGTCGCTGCTGAGGGAACCATTTACCATTAAACCAGTTGGGGTGTAGTTATGCTCCCTAACCAATCTGTGACTAGGGAAACAAAAGAATGGGAACAGAAAGAAAATGGAGGCCAGGAAGTGCACCCACATAACCAGGTCTTTTTGAAATTCCTTGCTGACACAGACAAAGGAGCTGGAATTAGACAAAAGTGCGGGTTACTCAGGGAAATCATGCATCAAAGAAAGAACCTGCCAGGGGCAATAGCTTCTGGTCTACAATAAAGTGACCTGATCAGCAATTGGAGGCTGCCATTTGAAGTGATAGCTGGTTTTAGACTGCCAGACAGGGACAAAGGAATGGAGTCTGGTCAGCTTGCTGTCTGCAAGTCTGGCTCCCCAGGAGGGAGGAGTAGTTACAGTTAAAAAATTTTATTTCAATAATTGAAATACACTTTTTAAAGAAAATAAATATGATGAATTTAAGTACTGAAGAGGGGCAAAAGGTCTTTCTCACTGCTAGAGCGAGATCCAGGTCAGTAAATAAGGTTAATAGGCGACACAGGGCCAAGAGAGGTTGACCCTGTTATGGATAATTGATTCCAACAACAGCAATGAGCGTAAGATTCAATTGAGCTAAACGTTAACTCCAGTTTATGGTCTGGCACAAAAACGCCACAAGGTTGTGACTGGCAGAGGTGAAGGTAAGAAGCAATAAAGAAGCTTTAACACCACCTTTAGCTGGTTGTGTTTAAAACATACAGCTTGTACACCAAATATATGGAATAAACACACATACGTTACAAATACCACCCAGCAGGGAACTCACTAGGGGGCTGTTTACAAAGTATAGAGGATTCAACTCAAAACTTGTGCCCTTAATTTAATAATCTGGAGCCAATGTAAGAAAGACAACTTGAATATTAAACAGTTTGAATTCCAGTATCTTTGCAAATTTATTCATTGGTGCAGTAGCATAACGGTTAGTATGTGGTTCTAGAATAATTCTAGGGTCAGGGCAGTGGTGCTCAACTCCTGTTCAGTGCCATGAAACAGTATAACTTGCTACCCTCAAGCTACCCCTGGAACAGCAGCTTAACAGTTAAAGTACTGGACTTAGGTGCAAGCCCTGACCCTGTGTTGTGTTCTTGGGCAAAACATTGTACTCTCACAGAGCCTCTTTCCACGTAGGACCTCGTTGTTTAAAAGAGAGATAATCAACCTTGGGTTAGACCTAGGTTTGTTAACCCAAGAATAAAACAGTACTGTTCAAAGTAGGGTTGAGGTTAGCGAAACAATGAGGTAACCATGGGTAACCAGAGATGGCAGAGTGTGTGACTAGTCAGAACTTATAAACTTACCTTTTGTAGAGGGGTTAATCATGGCTTTACATGAGGTCTTTCTATGTTTTTGATCATCACCATTTCTATTGGGGTTGCCATCAGGAGGACAACACCCTGAGGAATGGCTTTTGCTACGACGACGATGTCTGCGAGAATGTTCACTCCCATGTTTATCAGCAGAAGCTCCCAAAGGATCATGATGTGTAAATTTATCGCTTGCATGTGGAATTATAGCTTCTTCCTCATCATGAACATTTCCTGTTTGAGGTGACGGGTCCTGCAGTGTGCCATTTGGACTGTCAACTTGTTGGCCATTTCCTGCAGCATCTGTACATGAATCGATGAAATAATGTGCTTAGTTAATTGGTAATGTTATTGGATGTACTAGCAAATGGCAACCCTGTCCCCAAACAAGAGGATATTTTTGAAAACATCGTCTTTAGAACACCATTACTTGATGTCAAACACAATAAAAAGACAGTTTATGTGGGTGAACTTACCTTTTGTAGAGGGGTTAATTGTGGCTTTACATGAGGTCCTTCTCTGTTTTTGATCATCACCATTTCTAGTGGGGTTGCCAGCGGGAGAACCACGCCCTGAGGAATGGCTTTTGCTGTGACGACGATGTCTACGAGAATGTTCACTCCCATGTTTACCAGTAGAAGCGCCCAAAGGATCATGATGTGTGACTAAATCACTTGCATGTGCAATTATAGCTTCTTCCTCATCATGAACATTTCCTGTTTGAGGTGACGGGTCCCGCAATGTGCCATTTGGACTGTCAACTTGTTGGCCATTTGCTGCAGCATCTGTAAATGAATCCATGAAATAATGTGCTTAGTTACTTGGTACTGTTATTGGATGTAGTAGCAAAAAGCTACCCTGTCAACAAACAAGAGGATATTTTTGAAAATATCATCTTTAGAACACCATTACTTGATGTCACACAAAATAAAAAGACAGTTTATGTGGGGGAACTTAACTTTTGTAGAGGGGTTAATTGTGGCTTTACATGAGGTCCCTCTATGTTTTTGATCTTTACCATTTCTAGTGGGGTTTCCAATGGGAGAACAATCCCCTGAGGAATGGCTTTTGCTGCGACGACGACGTCTGCGAGAATGTTCACTCCCATGTTTATTAGCAGAAGCTCCCAAAGGATCATGATGTGTGACTAAATCACTTGCATGTGCAATCATAGCTTCCTCCTCATCATGAACATTTCCTGTTTGAGGTGACAGGTCCTGCAATGTGCCATTTGAACCGTCAACTTGTTGGCCATTTCCTGTAGCATCTGCAAATGAATCCATTAAATAATATGCTTAGTTATTACTTGGTACTGCTATTGGATGTAGTAGCAAATAGCTACCCTGTGCCCAAACAAGAGGATATTTTTGAAAATATCGTCTTTAGAACACCATTATCTGATGTCACACACAATAAAAAGACAGTTTATGTGGAAGAAGGTAGGGGGATTGTCCTGAAAACACAAGAGGCCTACACTCAGGCTGGAGTAAATTTAAAGCAGCTTAAACCATCACATTATTGACATCAAGTTAATGGCTAGGGACAAGAATAAAAAGAGAATAAAAACTAATAATGACCTGACAGTTTCATCGAGATTAAGCCTGAGAGTATGTTTGATCCCAAAGAGGGTCATTTGGAGGCAACAAATGGTAGTGAAGTTGAAGTTGCAGTTGAACTCTACATGAAATTGTGAGTTGCTGCTAGGTAAACTTCAATGGTGTGAAATGTAACACTTTCTGCTATGGGGGAAACTAAATAAATCTCCCTGGTGGGAAGTTGAGGGGTGGCAGGTGTAACTAGACTATAAATTATTTCAAACAAAAGAGGATAAATAGTTTTCATCCTGATACACAAGTGCTAGTGGAAGGTGCTAGCTAGGTGGAGACTTTGCAAGGTGTCTAATCCCAGCTCCCTTAAATGTTCCATCTGCAAACAAGAATGGGAGTCGGTAATACTATTCTGGAGTCCTGCTATGCAAACTTTTGTTAGGTTGAAATTATGAAGGAGAGTGAAAATGGTGATAGACTAAGGAGATCCATGATGCAAGGGATTTTGGAGTTCTAAGTGTTGATGATTTAGACCATTCTTTAGGAATATCAGTGTTGGAAATTAGCGATCACCTGCTCCCAATGCAAGTGTGAAAAGTGTCAGGCAAGTATAAATCATCAATCACTCACCCATTTGGCGAGTGTGATTTTCATTTTTGGGAAATTATTTATAACAAGCTGAAGTATTGATATTACACTCCTTTTTTCCATTTTAGCAAGAATAATTATCCAAAACAAAAATCTGTACCTTTTTTATCTTTCAAGGCTTCTTCCAGTGATAATTTAATATATAGTGGTTACACATGTAGTAAGTGATACTGATTGTCTCTATTTGAGCTGGCCGCAATATCTATTTATTTATTTATTTATTAAGCTTCGGCCTACTATTACACATAAAGAAAAAGAAAAAGAAGAGGAAGCAAAAAAAAAAACAACAACAACAACAANTGTTACAACACTGGAAGTTGATTGACATTTGATTGGGTCTACTTCGCAGATTTACAGGAATATATACCATCCAGTAGTTTTCTGTTTATCTTTGCAGGCCACTCTACATTATATCTGTATTATTATAGCAAAAACATTTTGCTGTCTTTGAACAAAAGATATTTCATTATTTGACTGTTTGATCAAGATTATGTAAGCTGTAATACATTTTTCTGCTCACTTTTTTATGCATCTGTCACTGGAAACCCTCACCCTCCCCCAGGCAGCAAAACATGGGGCATGGGTGGGGCTTTGTGAGGGCTTTGATTTTCTGTCTTGCCCGAGGGTTTGGGGAATTAATTCATTTTTTCCCTTTGTCTTCCCATTGCTTTGTCCGGTGGAGTGGGCGATAAGTACAGTTTAGTACAGTTTAGTCTGTTGCCTTGCCCAAGCAGGGAGGAGTAACAAGAAAGACTGGAGCACGAGCGTGGTAACATGTGCTTCAACATATTGGAGACATGCCATGTTGTTGTTCAATGAAGGACAAACAAAGGGTACAGATAATCTGCTGAGTTTCTCTGTTATATGAATGCCCGTCGATTCTTTTTATTTCCTGTGACAGATGCATTAAAAGCAATTTCCGTGACCAGTCAAAATGACTAAAGTTTGCCCAGACCAATTGTCATTTTGACCAGCCGAAATGTTTTGAACCCAAAAATTTCTTCACACACAACATCCCAAGCCTTTTCACAGACCACTCCTTTACACGTGTTTGTATTTTTGTGAAGTCATAGCCGCCATTTAATATTTTGGTGGTCAGTAACAAAATACTCATAATGAGCTTCTTCTGTTTGTATCACCGCCACGCCTTTGTGGTTTTAGGGCGCTTTCCATTCGACCAAAAATTCCGAAATTTTCAAAACGGGGACAAATGGTACGAAAATTTCCAGGGAAAAGTTCCAGAAAATCCGGAAATTGTTGAATTTCCGAAAATTCTGGAAATTCCGGGATGAAAACCAAATGGAACGGAAATTTCCCGGAAAATATGTTCGAAAATTTGGGTATACCTCACGAGGTTGTCCTCTTTTTCGGAAATTATGCAAACTCTCGATTTTCTATTCAGCGCTAATTGTTTTGGCGCGAGGACAGCGAATTGGACATCTCACGCTAGGATGACGGCGACGCGTATTCGAAAATTGAAATACTTTAGAATCTTTCCACTTATATATGTCGATAAATACTAGCTACAGCTAAATTCGTGAAGAAAGCGTTTTGTAAAAATAATGCCCATGTGGTGTACTTGTTTGTTTTGCATAGCTTGGCTAAGAAATGTACAAAGATTTATAACGCGTGCAGAACCATTGTACGACTCATTAAACCCTTTGTTTT